ATTGACAAATAATGATTCAATCTTGTTGAGCCAGTTGATTTCTACGGGGACCTCAGATATGAACAAATATTATAACTCCGAGTTATAATTTCTACGCCTTCCCTGCGGCCTGTAAAAATCTGCATACGCCGTACGGAGGCCGCAATGCGAGCGTAGTTTTTCTACGCTCGCCGCAGAAATTCACCGATTTAATTGTTCTGCGGTCGACTTGCGGCCGCCGTGCGACAAATGTGACTGGGGTGTAAAGCATATGCGACTGAAGGCGTATTAACGTTCCAAACGAATAAGATCTTTATGTACATCGGTATCTACGGCACTGTTTACAAAGTACCAATTATCCTAATGCGATTAGGGCAAATTATGATAAAAATTACCTAAATACAGATAAGAAACAATTAGTAAGTAAGCACATTTGATAGGCCTTAGTGTGTAGCATTGGTAAGTCTGGCCCAACACAGACGATAACGTTGATAAGAGTGGTAAGGTGGAGTTAAGGAGATAGTTAATGCAATCGTTCGCTATCTTGTCGCCTGGAGGCTTACTGCCACCGTTCGCTTGCAGCTAATCCACAGTCACAGTCAATACCCATTCTGTCCATGCATTCGAGACGAGCATACCATGACCAATCTCATCCTTCAAGATCGCTCCTTCACTGCTTTCATAGCAGATCATGATGTAGTGCAATGAATTACTCTTGGGCCAAGGATGGACCAATTTTTTTCCTAATTTTATTGTTCTGTCATTTAATATGCTTTAAAATAAAGGTTTTCACATTTTGAAAGAGATGATATCGTGCATCCCATTTCAACTGGCCATAAAATCAAATCTGATCGTCATAAACGCATTTCATTGAGTTCACTCTAAATATTTTTTACGTCATAAATCTTGAATTAGAAATGTTTAACACGGGGGAGTAGCTGTTCCATTGTAAATGAGTATAACCGGTCCTCAGAATCCGAATTTTAATGGTAATGAAAGACATGGTCATTTAAAATGTAACATAAATTAAAGACATATATGCATCATTATGAATGAAATTACTGCTAAACTGGATCGATTCCCCAAATCTCAGTTCATGAAAACCCATTCACTTTATGAATGACTTTGATTACCCTTTGCATTCGTTTGACTTCACTTCTTAAAAGAGAGCTTCGTCTTTGTAGTTTAACTAGACTCTGCACGCAGGGTAGACTTTGATGACATGATTGACAATTTCTATGCTTAAAACACCAGCCTTTAGTCCAAGAAAATGAATGGACACCGGGGAATGGACAATGTTCGAAAGTATGAACAAAAGAAGAATATACTTACTTATAACATTGTCTGTTTACAAAAGTAAAACTGGGTGAAACCCGGACTATGAGGGCCTGTTATACTCAATTCGTAACATAAGATGAACAACAACCCGTCAACTAGGTACATAAGCAATGCAGCACCATAAGCCAATGCAGCACCATAATCAATGCAGCACAATAAGCAATGCAGCACCATGAGCAATGCATCACCATAAGCAATGTCGCACCAATGACAAGGACACAGAGACCCTGACAGACAAAAATATTTTTCTCTATAGTGTATAACTCGAACTCAGTAGGTCTGCATCGATAAACAGGTGGTAGGGCAACATAATTGCATCGAGTGGTCTAAAGATGTGTGCTTTAAAATTAATAATCATGTTACTCTTGAAATAAGAGAGTTCTTTTCAATTAACATCAACTTAAACTAATACTTGACCTGACACTGCTTTAGTACGTTGCACAGCAACAGCCAATCACGTACGGTTAAACAAAATACGTCATCTCGTCACGTTGTCTCGAGTGTTGATGAGATTATGGTATGAGAATGTTGGCCGATAATGGGTCGACAAATCCTCTTCAAATAAAAGTAATTGGAAATGAGATCTGAAGACGCTTTGCTCAAGCTAGAAAGTCATCCCAGCATTGATTTCGACGCAAAACATGTAATGAATAATCTCTGTGGAGAAGTTTTCAGATATTACATCTGCCAAATTATTATTTGAAGTTTGGTTTAGGTGTAAGATTAATAGAAAATAAATAAATACGCGTTGTGCGCCGGTATATTAATTGGTAATCCGGATAAGCTTAGTCGTGGTGCATACCGATCAACAAAGTGACTTATCATTGTTCTAAAACTTTTATCTCTATGACCAAAAGCAAAAGACATTTTCGTTTTTATATTTTAAAGTGCTTAGATGCGATTCATCTAATCTTAAGATCTAGCAAATCAGAGTCAAATTTTTTTAGGGACACAATATATTAATAAATTGCTATTCTACTCTTTGTATTCTTTGCTTTCATTTGAAATAAGAAAACGGACCTTATACTAGTAATGCTATTGTTGGGTACTAATTAATTTTCAGATTGCACATCGTACAGGGTATAGAGAAAAATAAACCTGGGATTGATGTTGTTTCATGTATATCATATCAATGCCCATCAATAATGAAAATAGACACATTAGATATCACACGTAAATATGAATATGTTTATTAAAATACAGTATATAATGGAACTGTACACTTAAGACGACTTTTTATTCGAAAGGTCTTTTGCAAAATCTGAATAAATGGTATTAAAAGTAGAAAGATATTAATTGAGTTTTTGAGTTTTGTTGAGAAATTTGCGTGCCAAATCATTGTTATACGACCAGTTCTGAATCACCAATCATTGCTTTTAGTCCATTCTTACACTGCCATCTTTAGATCGAATACAAATGAAAGTGTGTAAAGATATAAAGCAAACTCTCGCCTATTGAGAAGCTCATCATATCACCATTGACCTTTTCCCATATAACTGGTAAATAGATGGCATCATGGGTATTGGTAGGGCTCGGGTAGGGCTAGAATACGTAAATGTTTGCCAGAGTTACTTAATTTCTTGATTTTTAAAACACCATTGGAATGTATTTATATGATCTTATTGACATGTGAATTGTGATTTCACATTAAAATTGTGATCCTCATAAGAGTAAATGAACTTTAAAGTTTTTCAGCATTGTGCCCAACCTTTTTTAGACAACTAGAAAATCATTAGAATTTGAATAAAGGTAAATAACGGTGCAAATCAAAGTTGTTTTGATAGAAAATAACACACAGAATTCAAATATGCCATCGAATAGAAGAATTTGTTAGTCTTTAATGGTTAAAAATACAGATCTCCTAAACTCTCATTAAAAACGAGACTTTAACGAGATTTCAAAGCCATATGGAAAAGGACCATTGACTTATTTGAAATTGGTTATGATATATTTTTAAATGAACAGTATATGAAATGGCAATGAGAATTGATTTCACTTTTTGTTACTCATATTTCTTGTTTCGATAAAATTTTGAAAACATTAGGGACTTCAATTTTGAAATCAATATTTCGAACTGGCTGTCACAACAGCTCCATGTTACACAGCCAGTATAGGACAGAAGGCATTCGATCAATTAACTATGATTTCTGTTCGATAAATCCAATCCTCTCGTTTGCCTTAAACATGTCTCAACATTATATTATAGATATTTGGATACGTTTTCTAAAAGGGGTTTGATTGTGCTGTATGGGCGGTTTGTATATTTTTACCATTTTGATCTTCCAGAAAAGATATTTGCAACATCATAACCAAGAGTAAATCAATCTGACACGGCAAACACTGATATATAAAAACATGTTATTATGATATATCTAGTTTTATTATATACCAGTCATGTTCATCTCTCTGATATTTATCATTGATAATTCATTAACTACTATATTATCATTGTGCAATTCTTAGGGGAAGGCCATCTATCTGGCCAAAAGAGAGTTAAGTAATCTTACTTCAAGAGGATTCTATAGAAATAGGGTCCAGACCACATATGGGTAGCTCTGTTATAAGTGTTACAGTACGGTAATTGCCCAAGTATCCATTTGGTCAGAGAGGAGGCCTACCCCTTAAAAACGGTAATTGATAGAAGTACTAAATGAATCAATAATGACACATATCAGTGAAATAAACATGGCTGATACTTAAAAACATAACATAAACATAACATTGCATGCTGGGCCACACTGATTGACAAATGGTCTAACTGGAACTTAGAAATATTAAATTTGATTTTATAGTTTCATGAAATGTATGAAAAATGTTGGAAAAATATTTTCAAAGGGGTACTACTTTTTACGAGACACAGCTTCTATATTATATAATTTAACATAACAAATCATTCCAATTAATATCATATTCTATTTTATCGTTTTGTAGGTCATAATGTTACATTTCAGTTTATAACTCGAATAGTTTGAGACCTTTGGATTTCGTCGATTATATATCATAGGACTAGAAACGTGACTGTAATCAATTAACATAAATTATGTAAAAAAGTATGTTGTTATTAGTTGTTAATTAAACACACCAACATATATATCGAGAATAACTTTTTTAATGAAAGGCAGATGAACAATTATGTGAAAGGTAATTGATAGTGCGTTGTAATAACGTCAAATGTATACTAGTATTACTATTTTCTAAAAAGCGAGTGTGATGGTAGTCCTTTTAAATATATGTATACATTGATTTACAAAATAACTAACGCCAACGCTACATATTTGAGAATTTACATAATATTAATAACATATTTACAAATTCATTTGCCAGTATCACATTCAGTTGAATCAAAGAATGAAGCAATTTTATTGCATATATTATAACTAGAAAAGTTTTTCATGTCGTACATGCTTCTTTATAGGAGTGGCCCATGATTGAGCTTTATATATGAATTGTAAGAAGCAGATCGAAAGACGCATTTACAAGCTAAGTAATAACGTCATCATTATTAACTATTTACATTTTCAGTGCTTTAAAGTACTAGTTTGTGCCTGTGTTAAAAGTCGAGCGATTGCTGTCCTTTCATCTTCACGAGATGATGCATTCATTTTGTACGAACAGGTAACTGAGCATCTTTCTAGAACGTCTTGATAATATCATCTTTCTTATTACAGTCCAGTTTGGCAAGTTTAATCAGTGACCATTCTTTGTTTTCCCATGGACATACCGGCCTGGGATGCACCAACATTGGAGCCCATTTGTAGACCGATCACTCCTTGTCCTTCTGCGGATCCTGCACCGGTCTTGATGTCGGCTACGTGACGAGTTGCACCCATTGACATACCCGACTGGGATGCGAGCTGATTGGTTCCCATCTGGAGTCCAATCATTCCCTGACCTTCCGCCGATCCGGCTTCAGTCTTAATGTCTGCCACGTGACGTACTGAACCCATAGCCATACCAGCCTGGGATGCTCCCTTATTGCTGCCCATTTGAAGACCAATGGTTCCGGCACTATCGGCACTCATTTCGTCAGCCCTGATGTCTGCCACGTGACGCACTGCACCCATAGACATACCAGCCTGGGATGCTCCCTTGTTGCTGCCCATTTGAAGACCAATGGTCCCGGCACTGTCGGCACTCATGTCATCGGCCCTGATGTCAGACACGTGGCGCACTGCACCCATAGACATACCAGCTTGGGAAGCACCCTTATTGCTACCAGCTTGAAGACCGATGCTTCCAGCGCTATCTTTTGACATATCATCGGCTCTTATATCAGAGACGTGACGTACTGCACCCATAGACATACCAGCTTGGGACGCACCTTTGTTACTACCGGCTTGAAGACCAATGCTAGATTGACTGTCCTTGGACATGTCATCAGCTTTAATATCTGCGATATGACGCACAGCCCCCATTGCCATGCCAGACTGAGAGGCACATTTATTGGTACCAGCCTGGAGACCAATGATGCCTTGGCCAGCCTTTAGCTGTTCTTCTGAGAACTCAACTATATGCTTCTCAGTTGGCCTAGGTCCGATGGTTGGGCCGTCAAATCCAGTTCTCTGACACTGTAAATAGATTTGACTCTTAGTTAATGATATAAGAACATTTTCACAACACGACTTTACTTTAGTTAATTCTTATAAATCTTCCCAATATTTTCTGTTGTATTTTATTGCACTTAGAATATCGATGGATAACTGCTCGTTCCCTTGGTAACTTATCGTCTAGATAACTCATTGTTAACTCATTGGATGTTAGACATTGTTTCTTTTCACGTTAGATCATGGTTTTGGGATATATAGGGTCTACTTTTCTTATGACAGATTTACACTTACAGTTAAGTTTGCTTTTCTTGTTGGGTTTCTTAAAAGTTTTTAGTCACCCTTCCCTTTGGCATTTGTGCTTAATATTCATGCCAATAACTCGTTATGGATGCCTATAAACTCATGCTTACCTCGGTTCCCAACTGGAGGATGGTGGCCATAACTTGAGCCATATTTCTGCCTTCGAAAAGATCGACTGTTTGGAACAAACTGTTTTTTGGAACACCATATGCTTCACAAGCGTTTAAGAAAACTGTAATGTTTTCCATCTGAAATTCAACATTTAAAATGTGAACGATTCTCTTAGTTTGAGCACGTTTCCTGGCTCTTAAAATAATTCTGTTTTGGAATTACTTGGTAAATATTGACCTTGTATGATTATGTTTAATGGAGCTACAGGTTATTGCTAATTATTTGCAGCATGAATAGCTGCCTATTTTGTAAGGTATACGCATGTCTTCAACAACTTTCTGTTGTATCGTTGTGTGTTTGCATCTAACTCTATAATAAAGGAACGGCACGTGGTCCGGATTCAGGGTATTCTCCCAATTTTGTATTTTTAACTGAATCTCCTCATGTTATTTCTCATTCAAGCTTTTAAAATCAATCAAACCTGATGTTTTACCATGAAATATATCAAATGTTGGGGAAAATATTTTCAGAAAACAGAAAATGACTTAACCAAGGCGTAGTAAAAGTGAATGCAGTTATCCAATATGCTTATTGTAAATCACATCGATAATATACCTGTTTGAATGGTGCAGACATTGTGTTGAACTTGATCTTGAACTTCTTTGCTTTTGGTGGCTTTTTTGCTGTTCCTTTGTACACAGCTTGGACCAATCTGGAAAAGAAAGACATCTTTGTAATAATCCTTGTTTCAAATAATGTATGTATGTTAGCATTCGTGTCGCCAAATGTTCCAACTTTATGTTCAGTTATTTTATTTTATTTCGCAAACCAGATGACGTGTAGATTTATCATTATCATTATTTAGATTATTGAATAAACAAGCCAAAGTGACAGCATAATTAGCATTTCCAAATGGTCGTCATCGTTGAGTGGTATATTTAATAGAGGCGGTTTTAATGGACAATATTATAATTCTTTATTAGTAAAACATGGCTAAACGTTTTTTGAGTGTTCCACAAAACATTTTAGCTCGTTAGATGATATTCCACTCTATTCTATAAAGTATATTATTCCCTCTTTGCCATTGAAAACATTATTTTATATTAACCATTCAACTTTAGTTTTATCTTTAATCCTGTATACTTTAAACAATCTTGAATTTCCAATGTGGTTAAGGTGGTTGATGTCAAATATTTAAGAAAATCGAAATATGTTTCCTAAAACATCTCTTACGTATTTTTTGTAAATTTTGCTAAGGACTTTTTGATGCATTTTGCGGGAAAGCAAACCTGCGTGAAAAGGACCAAGTTAATAAATCAATATTCTGAAAAGGTGCTAAAAGGTATTGTGGTCGAATACCTCTTCCATATGGTTAAATATCAATTTACAGAAGAAGATTACTCTCCAACATCAAGTTTTGTTAGGTACGATTCAGACCGTTACCATGGCAACTTTGCTATAAATCGCACCAGTCTGTATATTTTTAGCAAAAATATGTTCGGATGGTTGAACCCCTGATAATGTGTTCCAAGTAAACATGTAAATGCCAACACCATTATTACCTTGCGAAAAATTTCAAAAACATGTGGTATAAGGTAATTTCATATCAGGTAAGTCTCACACTTTAGCCTTTTCCTGGACATAACATGTTTCCAAGAGTACATACGTATATATACAAATATATTTCATTCTAAATATAAAACAAAGAACAATAATTGTTAGGAAAAGATAATTTCATAAAGATTTAAACAGGTATGAAGAGTTTTACCCAAATGTTTTCTGAGATTTGCCATTTACATTTCTCAAAGCTTTGTTTATGCTACCACCATATGCCTTGTCACTTTTCATACAAAACTCGTGTTGCAATCGTTCCAACAAGCAAAACTGCATGCTTGGTTAAATTAAAGGTCACTCTCACAAATTTTATTCGCAGTCGCAGTTATCACATCGATAATAGCCCCCCCCCCCTTGAATTGAATTAATCACAAAAAGCTGCATGAAATAATGCTGACATTAGAAATGGAAATAATTACCGCTTCATTAAAAGGGTATAAAAGGTGTCTCGCTGCCATTACAATTCAATCCAATCTGATGAAAGGTGCTCATTTGTAAGGATCGTGTAATGTTACCTCAGAAAATTTGGTTTTAAACTATTTATTTTGTTTTGTTATTTGGCTGATTATTGATTTTACTGATATGAAATCATTGTGTCTCTTGTTGTCATTAAAGAATTGGGGAGGGCATACAAAGCCATTATACGTATTTAGTAAACATATATATATAAATTATCAATAAGCAAAAAGGTGGGTTTACCAAGAAAAATAAAATCAGGTGTTATACAATATATCAAACAATATATTTTACAAACGGCTTGTTCCAACCAGTTATGACTGGTTATTACTCACTTGCATAATGTTATACCAGTTTTTAACTGTTTTTCAACTTCTTTTATACCAGGGGTTATTTTGTCTTCAGTTAGTTGCTGTATCCAATCTAGGCATTCCCTCTCCACATCGGCATTATATTTACTAGCAATCTACAAACAAAAGAGTCAACCTCCACGCAATTAAGCCATGCCTAACAGAACGCTCATAAAACTATTAGAAGCTGGGTTTCAACAACAGAAACAATACTACTGAAACGCAGAAAAGGGGCATGTGCGCAAAACCTGTCCTTTCTTTTCATACTCCAACTTAGTACAACTGATACCAAAAATTGTGAATAAATTATATAATTACGGTGAGATGTATTAAAATCATCAAGAGTATTAATATTGAATGATAACTGAAATTGTGATAGGATAAGCTTTGCACATCATGCCCAAAACAAAACACAATCAACAGAAAAAAGGCACACGAGTGATCACTCCAGTTCGACAAGCATCACGAGGCGTTTTAGGCCTCACTTACTTGCACAGTAATTGACCATTTTTTAAAGTTTGTTGGACGTTGTGCATTCCTGGTTGGATCGATTCTGCAATCAGAGCCTGGAACCATCCAATGACCTCTGCCTCTGATTCCTGGCTATATTTTCCGGCAATCTACAACATAGAGTGGCCACATGGCATGCTTCAACAAAACAACGTAGTATAACATGTAAATGGTTGGGGATTAAGGCGTGATCTACGAAAGAAACATGGCGTCAAACCAGCCAGAGTCACGTGACAGGCAATGTCACGCCACCTGGTGACTTACTTGCAGAGTATCTGACCATTACGTAAGCCATCTTCTACATGACGCATACCAGGCTTTACTATATCGCCTGTTAACGCCTCAATCCAACGTATAACTTCTGATTCTGTTTCGGCATCATATTTTCTCAAAATCTAAAAGAAAAATCACATGGTATCAAAAGCGAGAGGCTACACTACCAGCGAACCAAACCAAAACAAATAATCTAAACCAACTAAACGAGTATACTTGTTTCAACCTGTCGAATTCTTACCGAATGGGATGGGTATGATAGAACACTGGATCGGAGGATTTTGTGGGAAAACTGGGGCGAACTTCAAACATGAAAAAAACGATTTTGGACAGAAATTATCATATCCTCCATAATAGTACGTTATACGTTGTTCTATTACTCCAAGATTACGGACAATGAATACGTTTCATCTGAAATAGCGCAATCAGATGAAATGTATGCATAATGGATATGATTTGATCTGAGGTTTCTGAACTCCAAAAATTGGTAAAAGATCGAGGAAAGGGTTGAGCACTCAAAACGTTTATATAATGACTCACCCTCGATAAGAACTAAGGTTTCATGGTAGAGATGTTTCTTCTTTCGTTCGACCTACATTATAGTACAATCGTTTTAAAAAGTATTATTTCATTGCCCTTCTTCCCTATGTAGATCGAGATACAAGTGAATAGGTTAGTTATGAAGAACTAGAAAAGATACATAATGGTCGCCATGGTGAAATGGAATAAGTTAAAACTGCTTGTGAAACAGAAGTTAAATCCCATAATTCACCTAAAATAGATACACCGTCATGATTAGTGGAAAATATTAACGTATGTAGATGAAAGATAAAAACAGCTGAACAGTTCTAGCATGGATGCCTATTAAGCAAGAAGATAGAGGCAAGACCACCATCACACAAGATATGATGTCGTCATCAACAAATAATAGATGACATCATCTAAAAATGTGCACTGCAACATTTCAATCAGAATTCAACCACACAATAGCTAACCTCGAATTAAACCGAGTATGATGGCGACTGTTGAGAGATGTCATTGTATTAATCGGAATAGGTGGGGCATGTGTCTGCACAGCACATCCAACAGGAAGTCACACTGCAGTAATTATGCTCCACCTACCCGGTTGTACAAGTGAGCAGTAGCACATGCTATAGTCAGTTGGTAGCCATCAACTTGGGCCTTTACTTCTTCCAATCGCTGGTACATGTCTTGGAGGGCATCCAACTGAAAATCAACGTGTTAACAATTAGTGAAACACAAGGAACTGATTTAACATAAAATGTTGCTATTCCTGAAAACTTAAGAAAGACAGTAAATGTCGACTGACAAGAAGGTTGCAAGGCAATTCTTTAGTTTGATTAGTCCATACCAACATACCAAAGAATACCAAAGAATGAGGAGAAAACCCACTCTGTGGATTCACAAACATCACAAGATAGCAAAAGAAAGGATAGAAAATAATAGAAAAAATGAAATGAAGTGTATCCAACCTATTGGGATCGATGAAAGGAAAATGAAATCTAGGTCCAAACTATCAATTCTGAAAGGAACAAGGCAGTGTCTATGGGCAGTCATGTGCGAATATGACATGGTAATTTTAAGATAATCAGAAATTCATTTTCCTAATGTTGTTGTTGAATCTCGTCAGTATATCACGCATTATGTAATGATGTATGTATGTGTCTAAATTTCGACCAGAAATTGTGATGAGGCATGCGTGATAGTGAATCAGCACCATGTGAAATGATCTATTAGTGCTACAAACAGAGCGCTAATATATGTATACTGGTAGTCGACGTAGAACTCTATATTTAGATAATCCTGTATTTATAGAATTTCGATGCCGCGATTATCTTACTGAAATCTTGAGGTGTGAGTCGCTCTGTTTATAAACACGACTATACATATGTATAGGCATTGCTCTGGTTAGATAAAACTGGAATTGACTAGCACTTTAAACTTCAAAGTACTTTCATTTCACATTATTTACAGTGCTAAATTGTCTTGTAATATATTTAAAAATCACTAATATATGTGATTGAAAAGATCTAAACGTGAATTGAATAGTATCGTACACAAATCTTTTATCCATGGGAAATTGTTAACTAGCAGTTGAAATATTCGCGTAAGAATGTCTTGCTTCAAAAGTCGTGATGAAATAAGTCTATCTTGGTGCTCATTTATCAACGTTGTCAGGAAATTCCCGAGAAGTATGTTTTTTCTCAGACTAAGAGATAACGCACATCCTAAGATAATACAAGGTAGGCCATTAACTTTGGACGTTACCGATCTTTGTTAAAGAATATGTTCTGGATCTGAATAGTTAAGAAAACATTTTGTGTGGATGAGTGAGACAAAACGATAGATTTTGAGGCCAATTATTTTGGGTAAAAATCTATTCGAAATACCACCCTCTTTATTTTCCGCTCATCAAGACCAAATGAACGTAAGTAATTTACATTATCGCCGTAAGATAAGCATCCCTTTGATGGTCTCGAGTTCACATTTTTCTTTGTTATTATTAGCATTTCTGTTTCAGAAACTCCAATTTGACAATGCCTTTGAAATGGGGTTTTTCACAAGCACGATCATTTTTCTTGATTTATATGCCTTTTAAAGATTTCTGGTCAGATTCACCCTGCGTTGTTGAAGTTATGGTCATTTTATTAGATGCGTTTAAGGGTTATCATCGTGTTATCTATTTATTTGGGGTTTAATGAGGGAATGTGAAAGAATATCTGAAATGTACTGACATGGTGTTTACTAGTTTCACTCGTGGCCTCCATATATTCCAAAATTTATTACCGTTTATTTAAAGAAACTGATTTTTATATTTTTGTTTCCTGTAGAAGTAAAAAATTTATTTGAATCAGTGATATGAAGTGAATGATAGCAATGTTCAGTATATGTTATGCTGACTGGTTGCCATATAGCCTATTTATTTGGTTTCCGATAAGTGGAGCTTGCCTAAAATGTACTTCCAAAAATCCCAAGACTTGTATACCAGCAGGATTCCAGACCCTTGTGTATACTTTATTCGCCCTGAATTACCCTAAACAAAACATTGCATGGGTTATGTGAGTACATTTGCAACAGGTAATTGCAGTGCTTCTGATTGCAAGGGGTACTAGCATACGGTAATGCTTTGCTCGGTGTAGGATTTCCATGTCTGTCTAAAATTATCAGAAACTTTACTACAGAATCAAAGTGCAAGCATTATGACCTTAGATTCCATTCAGGAACCAGACATCGGTGTCGAACAAGGATAAGTGAACCTTTAAATGTTAAAACTAAAGTATGGTTTTCAATCGTTATTCTTACATCATTATTAAATGAAACAAAATTGTTTAACAATTGTTTTTGTCAATTTAGTTTTTTATGATAGCTGTTAGTTCGCAATTCAAAGTTATGGCATAAGTTATAGTGGTTGTATCGAAAATCAAGTTGAGCGATTTCATTTTGCGCAAGGTCTTGAATACCAGTCCACTTCAGTTTATATGGTATTCGTTTCCCATATATGCCAGTTTCCTAGATTATGTTTATCTACTACAGTACTTAAAATCAGGTTCTATCATTTAACCCACACCATCAAGATCAATATGCATATCTATGCAAAATATAAACCATGTCCACACACGGGCATGGTTATTTAGAGTGCGTTCCTTCGCTTGAAGTGGGCACACATGTTCCAAAAAGCAACGTTTAATGTGGTGTATGAATTCACACCCCCATGAACGAACACTTGTTTTTTAGGTTCCAGTAGATGCAGGGATACCAATACAATGAATCATTATACAGCAACAGCAGACAACGCTCGGAACGCTAGAGCGATGCACCAAAAATAGAACAAACCACAACCTAGCTAGCTGCCTATCTCACTTTCGGGGAACATCATGACTTGTACAACGATACACCACCAGCGGTAATAAATGATTGTTTGTTATCTGATGTCGACCCTGGAAGTTTCATACTTCCGTTTCTTGATACTGATACATTACACCGTACGCATAGTTCCCATTACGTTTTTTTCGAATAAAAATGACAAAAAATAAACGGAAATAAATACCAATCTGAATTCCGTACTTTGGGTATCGTAGACACAATCCCCCTAATGTATTTTGGCGCAATACATGTCAATTAAAACCAACTACCATATGAACTAATGACTGGCAAATGCCCGATCAAAAACCTTTAGGGGTATTGTTTTTAGTTTCAACATGCGAAAAACACGCAACCTGCAAAAATACAGTCGATTACTTCTCATGTAAATGTGTAATGGGAGTGGACAACACAATTCATGAACTATATAAACAGAAATGATAATCATTTTAAGCGCTTGCCTCTTTACATCAGATTTCATCCATCCCGACCCGACAGAGCAGCCCTAAAGGATGTTAAGCTAAAACTGAATCCTATTATCTTAATACCATACTAATCTTACAAATAAATGTGCAAGCAGCGTGCATGAATGTTATAGATGGTATATTATGTAAAGATAACATTTATACATTTATAAAACATAATATGTTCATACATCATTCATGAAATCCTTTCAAATTAAACAATTAATTGTGAAATACAAATACATTCTTGAGTGTCTCGATGGTTTTTGAAAATCGTTAGAAATGCTAAAATGTCTTGGATAGATTTAAACCTTTCGAGAGTTTTATTACACTTTTATATAGAAATGAAACTATTTTACAAAATACCATTGCGTTGCATGATATGGAACCTTAGACATGTTAATTCTGTTACCATTGGAATATGATTGTTAAATCAGCCATAAACATACCTTCCCAGCGGTAATCCGCATATCGCCCATTTCCTTCGGCCTGGTAGACATTTTAAGATCTTTCTCTTTCAGTTAATCCAAGAAATAAAAGATGGAATGGGTTCCTTCTGTATCCTCCTACTGGTAACCGGCTAAAAGGCAGACAGGCAAAACAAGGCCAAATTTATCTGTACAATGCTCATGCGCAATAACCTTAGTTGACCTTAGAGATATTCGGATTGTTATGGCTTGTGAGTTGATTTATGGCCTGGAGAAGATATGTACTGAATGCTGAAGCATTAATAAAAAACAATTAAAGTTTTATCCACTTTAAATATGCGTATTCATCAGTTTTCTGTATTGTTGTGCAGTAGTTGACAAAATGAGTTTCCCGTGACAGTATTTTTTCTCTGATTGCAGCAGAAATATGGTTCTCTAAATTTAACACTGTCCAGTCCAAATCAAAAGTGACACATATTTGTTTCGTGGTTTCATTTATACAAATTTTCGGGAGTACAATTCAGAATAAAGGAATGTAGAAAAATTGCAAAAAAACGGACTGATTCATGCGAGGAAACACTTAACTATTTCCAAAAGTAGTGACGTCACAGCTGTAGGGAATCAGTGATTTTAGCATAGGAAGTGTCGGATTTCTCGTTGTATCTGGCTAGGCTCTTACCATATAAGCTGCGTCACGTGGTTATAGATTTGGCCAGATAACCCCGAGTGTACATGCTTCTTCTAAACCTTGCTTTGCTTTCTACATTAGCATTCGCAAAACAAAGCATCATTTAATCAGACAGCGCAACGGCAGACCTTGAACTGATATGTTATTCTAGATATTTCGCAGTTTAGAATGCCAGAGATATATTGGAATCGCTCAACATACAATTTGTACATACATTTGAAATTAGCATATACAACGTATTTGTAGCTTTGTGTAGCAAGCGAAAGAAACCGTGGGTTGTTATATTAATGTTTTTGCGGACATGGACCTTTTCAATTGTGTTAAAGGGCAGTATCAGATCTAGAGAAAAGTAGGTGGCGTAATTGCAAGCAACAAGCAAAAACGACACGCTAATTTATCTTTCATCGTCTAAAATATGTTATCTCCAACAAATCAGTGATATCCTATGCAATGGAAATAGGGAATTTATTTAAGATTCCAAGTGTAAAAATTTGTATATTCTCTTAAATAATGGGAAAGTTAAGCTACACGTTTTTAGATAACTCAAATGTTTTTTGCAGTAATTACAACTATTTTCCTCATACCCTTATGCTAATCTGGGCTGGTAATTACTACAAAGGGGAGAACTAACCCCTAGGCGACCTTAATTCTACACGTTCACGTATACGTTCTACTAAAAAAAGTGCATCGTATGATTAACAGCTCCTTTATATGTATATAATTATCAGCTGGACGGCGCATAGATGTAAATATCATGGAATATGCTATGAACTTTTAGGAGTACTAGTATAAGGTTGCTATTTCGTAGGTTCAGATACACGTATTGAAGAGAACGTGAACGTGAACATAAGGTCTCTTCGTAGTATTTATTTACGTGATTGAGTATAAAGGTAATAGTAAAATAATTGGTCAATGGAAAGACCAGTTGAGAGGAGGACAGTAATTTCTCTATAGGGGTCATAAAATAAAAAATGAAATCATATATCTTATCATCCTAATTATCCTTTTCGCAGTTCGCTCTTCAAACGAGGAGACACAGAAGTCTTTCCTTATATGAACAATTACCCAACATGCAATTCTCGGGGAAACAAATTCTAATTACTTCCTTGTTTTTCCCTAATTGGTTTAGCATGTGGATTTTCATACCTATTTTTCAATCGCTATGTTCAATTAAATGTCCGAAAAAAAAGTATCATAAACGTTTGGTCCCTTATTATATATCAAGTATCTTTATCATTGTATTGGCTCACAACGTTGTGAAAACAACGTGTGAAAAGAGAAAATATATTCCGGTAGAGAAGGTCACGTGATCAGTTGACTAGATCGCCATATTGGAAAAAAAACATTTCATTCGACTTTCCACCCTTTCATTTCATCATCCTTACCGCACTATAAACTGCAACATCGATGCAGCAAATGAATAAAAGTACTTACCTTAAAATTGCTGAAGCATAGAGATACTTTCAAAAGGCACAAACGGCTGAGCAGTTGACCAAAGAAGAGGCATCGCTATTATCTAGGTCAATCGGTCAATTTGTTGATTATACAATCTTTTATTGATTATAAATTATAATATATACTTGGTATACGGACCATTATAGCAATGACAAACAATACTTCCGATGGCGGTGTCATTGTTTTATAGTAGCGTTCGGGTCATAGAAACAGAATTGTGTAATTAGTTTTATTTCGTCCTTTAAGGGACACGCAAATAGCTACGCGAAATGCATCGTGCTTAAACATCAACCAATTAAATTTGTCCTCTTGGGGGGCATTTTAAGTACATACCTTCTCGATTAAAGAGCGAACCACGGAAAGGAGAATTGATATATGATATTGATACATGATTGAATATTTGAAATGTATACAAGGTTGGAATTTGTATTTCTTTGGTTATTATAATTTGTTTACTTTGTTGTTTTCCGTGGTTGTTTTGTAATAATCACATACGAGCTGTCAATTTAGCCAGTAGAGTCGACTCAGTAGTCAGACGTAGCCACTCACGTTTATAGTCCAAGGCCTTACATAATCGCCATATTTTGAGCGATTAGTGTACAAGAGCGCAATTAATCTATCTGTCTGCCGAACTTATTGAGGGGGAGAATAAACACAGGCGACGTCATCGATGGCGGATCTGGTTAGAACTTAGAAAAACAGTTATTTCCGGGAAAAAATGAGGCCCCCTAAAACCAAAAATCGTACTCAAATTGTGGAAACTAATGCCCACTATTAATGATTTGGCCCAAAATCAAAAATAACCCCAAAAAGCCATGTATAAAAAGGTCCACTAATTGTGGCCATACAAAAAGAAAATGTTGGGCCCATCCTAGCAGCACCCCCCCCCCCCCCCAGATACGCCAGTGATAACAGTACATCTTTTGTATCCCTTCCTCACCACAACCATCATATAAAAAGATGTGATATTAAAGCGCATCTAAAGTACTCCTGTAACAGTATTCCCTTCTAATTGTGGGAGCTGTTACGCGGTATATGGCATACATTCATGGTTGCGCGGTATTTGTGATATGGGTGAATATGCCATACTCACCTGCGGTATATGGCATATTCCGCAGGTGAGTATGCGATATTCCGCAGTGAATATGCGATACATTGTTTTCAGTGAATACCCGATACTCACCTGCGGAATATGTCATACTCACTTGACATATACCGCAGGTGAAAACGTGATACAGAAAGTCTTGATTTGATTCGTTGCGAGAATCTACACTAAATGTGAAACTACACAGGATTACCAATATAGTTAGTGCGTCGAGTACTAATATAATATGAATCCTGGATTGATTGAGTAAGTTTATTACGCGAGATTGGTGACTGATACTTCTGCTAAGTTATATATTCGATACACAGTAAGTACTATTGATTCAGTAATCATCATTAATTCATAACGTTTTATTTGTTCGTTTAATCGATGCAACTGACAATTGCCGCGAACTTCCGTATCACGTTCTCAGTGGTTAGTATGTATGCTATATACCGCAAGTGAATATGCCATTTTCGGTGCGGAATATGACATATTTTTATATCGTGTTTCCCGCGTAACAGGAGGTTTTTATAGATACATAAAGACAGCATTTAATTGAAGAATGTAAGGGCCAGAACTGATTGATAATCAAGCGTATGTAATGATAATCACTTTATTCATTGAGATGCGGTAGTTAACGTGTATTTCTATCAATGAGAATAATTATCACGGTGTTATAGCATGACGGTTACGACACGTCTGAAAACGAGATTAGACGACTACGATCACTGATTTATCCAATAAAATGGCCGCGATGGAACAGAAAACTAAGGTTGGTGCATTATTTTCTTCTACAGTGTATCAATGAAAGGATGAACGATTTTGTAGGCATCGCATTCGGCGATGCATTTAGTAATATACACTCCCCTCCATAAGTTTGGCAACCTTTTTTCCCCGACTTTTTTCCCCCATTGAACTACGTGTTAAAGCCTCTTTACCTTTTATTCACTTAACCTGCGATGAAAATACTTATACTACAGGGTAGGCCAATAAATTTTGCAACCCTTTTAAAAGGCAAAAAAAAGTATCATAACATTATGGTATTGACATGAAATTTTTTTTACAGAAACTTAAGGATAGGCATATTTTACTATTCAAATACTTAAGCTAATACTGACTTCAACTTTTTTTGTCAGATGTTTGAATATTAATGGTAAATTGTTCATTTGTCCGAGATTTACAATTTTTCCTAGAAAATCTGACTTTCTATGATTTTATGTGATCAACAATAACACATTCATTATGTTTACTAAATCTGCTACAATCTTTGATAACTGTTTAACCAATGTCTAGTACAGGTTTATATCAGTATCTAGTCACTATGGTAATATTGTAACACTGTATTAATTATTTATTAAACAAATGTTCTATGCATCCGCCTTTTACCTTCACAATCACATGGAGATGAGAACTGAGCTGGTCAATGGCGAGATCCAGCAGTTCTTTTGGTAGTCGTCTCCACTTATCCTGCAGAACTTCTTATAGTTGATCAATAATTTGTGGGGTATAACCATTGACTATAATACATTGCTCCATGTGCCCCCATGTGTGATAGTCCCAGGGGTTGGCATCTGGTGTATTGGGTGGCCATTCGACTCAGGACTAATCTTCTTCAAAAGGGACATCTTTCAAGAATGGGGGTTCTTTCAGCCCCAAGTGATTACATATTCCAGCAGGATGGTGCTCCTGACCATAGGCCAAAAGTGACTATGGAATATCTGGAGCAAAATACCCCTTGATTCATTAGTCCTAATGAATAGCCGCACAATACACCACTTAACAAAGATTGCAGCAGATTTAGTGAACATAATAAATGTTCTATCGATTATCACATAAAATTATAGAAAATCACATTTTCTAGGAAAATCGGTAAATCTCAGACACATGAACAATTTACCATTAATATTCAAACATCTGAAAAAAAATTTGAAGTCAGTATTAGCTTAGGTATTTGAATGGTAATATATGCCTATCCTTAAGTTTCTTTTAAAAAAATTTCATGTCAATAACATAATGTTATGATACTTTTTTGCCCTCTAAAAAGATTGCAAAATTCTTTGGCCCAACCTGTATTGATGGAAACGTAATTTGACTTTATTTCCAATACCTCCAAATTTTCGAAAAAATTTATCATCAATTTTCGACCTATTGTAAGAGCGTCTCTTGCGAGTAATCAATTCAATATTCCATTTCTTACCCATTATAACAATTACATGGATAGAGGCTGTCAGAACTAGCAACCTTAACTTGAAAGATGTACATGCACGTAACCGCCCGCTAAATATCTAATGTACATCTAATACAATACGTTACCGTCCATAGAATGCATACGTAGTCGTCTAACGACATTGCGTTTGAAACCTTATTATTTACAATATGACCACGTTCCTGTTCTTGATTTATAATTTTATGGCTTGTTTATACACAGTTTACTTACTGTTAATAGTTTGAGTGGCTCTGAGGCACATATACTGAGAAAACACGAAAATGGACTAAAAATTACGAACTTGGATATCTCAGTCGGTAGGTTTACAGCTTATATTCTGCTTCAGGTAGATCACCTGGCAGATTTGACCCAGTCTTTATAACCATCCATATATACGTCACCGAATGGAACTAGTTTAAAATGAAATCTTATCTGTTAATCTTGCCTACAGGCGAGAAAGAGGACGACATGCTGCCTTTCCAATCGGACATTTTTTGTTATCGTTACCGCAAAATTTTGCAAATCGCCTTGTCCTAACCGTCATGCTATAACACCGTGATTATTGTTATTCCAATAATGCCCATAGATTTTGCTGTTTCCAACTTCGAAACTGTTGTTGCCAATCTTATACAGTGTAGTGTACGTATAAACCATCTAGCTGTATTTATGCCTTCAATGCGGCGAACAGGCACACCATCTATACATTGTATTTTTCATTAGAATGTAAAGATTGGGGTACAATGTACAACTGTTTGTTGTAACATGCGTTTTCCCACATCAAGATTTGTGGCCATGTTTTGCAATCATGCTATCATACCCAAGTATGTCCCCTGTAAGTCAAAGAATTCCTCACGAAAATCACAAGATCTCACCTGTTGAATACGCCATCTATAGGAAATGTCAAAAAAGGTCATGCAGATTTTGAAAGATGGAGGGATGTTTTCATTCATTGAATTACAAAAACTAATCCAACCACTGGTGATGTTGATGTTTACCTGGACTATATCATTGCTTTCAATATGCCATCTATTCCACGGCGAAAATATCAATTGTGGTCCCAATACTAGTAGGCCTACATGTTTGGTAATGGTATCCCAGGCCTCCCACCCGTCCTAACCTAGCCCAATTTTTTTTAAAGTCGATCTGAAAAAAGACATTTGTGCTTAAAAGCGTCCACGATTCATTGAGAAGCTAGCAATCGGAATTTGAGTATTATGCACCAGTCTTTTGTTTCAATCAATTAAATCAATCAATGTAGTAATATTGCGTTACGTTTTATTAGTGGATTGCATATTAGTACTTTTGGTGGTGACAAATACTTTAAAATATGATTTATGTGAGTACCAACAGGAAGCCCGTTTTAGACAAACAGCTAATTTAATTCGTTTTTACGTTTGTCCCTTGGGCCTCATACATTACCCATGGAGATAGAGTCGACAAAAAATCGATGTTTCAACTTTTTGTCCTGAGTGAAACTATCTATCCCAGCCCCGCATCTATCTACCTGGGATGCTGGCTGATATAATATCATTGTTTGAGTACATACTCCTAGAGTTTTTTTCTAATGGTTCATTTTAAAAAACCGCAATAGATGAATCGATTGTTGTTAAGTCAGGTTTTTGTTTTTTCTGTCCTAAAATGTTTAGATTTTTATTTATTGCACCTTAACCTGATGACTCACAGAAATACAAAGGATTTGATCGATTTGATATGATTGAAGATATATAAATATATAAAACTTTAAAAGCAAAGTTTCGGGTCTTAATTTAAGCAAGAAGATGTAATAAAAAATATCAAAAAATGTTACAGAATCGATACTAGCAGGCTTAGTGAATGACCTATATTTGCAAATATAAAACTACCTTATTCAAAGTGGACACTTATATTTAACCGACTCACCCTTTATTGTGACAAGATTCTAGAATATATGTTAACACTATAAAGAATTTGCACGACCAGTTAATATCTTATTGTTTAATCTCAAGTGCGTATATTTCGTTCTTGAAGAACGCACAAGAATCTAAAAGCAAAGCTGTTTTAGATAAGAGAACCTTGTTTTTAGTTTTTATCATGTTTAGTTTGCATTAACACTACATCAATTTTATGAAACGCGCATAAATTTAGGGCATCAATACTAAAAAGATAGTAAGCTGCAATGAAGTAACTATATACAATACAATGATTCGGTGTATTATTCTATTGTGTTTAACGTATCAGGGTGAGTGATCTTTAACTTTTGTTTATTTGTTATTAAATCTTGAAAATATGTGATAACCAGTTAGTTTATATTAAGCTTAACTGTAAATTGGGATTTATTATTAATTTGAATACCAAGCGCTTGTTTACCTTAACACAGGCGATCAATGTCCCAAAGTAATTTACTCCTGGGATGATACTTCATTACATATTTTTATATCTTAATGTCGTGACAGTAAAAAAGGCATTCATGACACACATTCTTTACTCAGCACAAATATTATGTTACTGTTCGTCAAATTTATCATTTCTTGTATCATACAAGACCCATTTTTACCCCTCGAATGCCTTAACCTGATGCACAGGCGCCTTATTAATGTTAAACATATCAAGCAGGATTTGTTCTTTGTACAATATGACAATAAAATATGTTTTATAGTTAGACTTATTACCAAATTTGAAGTTGTGTCATCATTTTTGCTATTACAATAGCAACGAAATGCGATAATTATTAGAGAGGCGGTTGTTTATGCTGAAGGTTATATGAAAAATAGGGAATTTTAGAGCGTAAACTTGTCAAATGATTGACGCCATTTTCCATAGATAGACGTAATGAAGTTTTGACTATATTTCACAAAACATACTCGATCAGTTGTTCATCTTCACAGTTACACTCCCCTCCATAAGTTTGTTAACCGGAAGTTGACCTTAGATAGCAAATCAATGCCTATATCAAGGTTTGAATTTTAATCCTCTTTTAAGAAATTCACAATTTTGATGGAAAACCCAATTGACCTTGAAAGTGATCTAGAATGGAATTCTCGGTTGTCAAACTTATTGAAGGGAGTGTAGGTGCATTTAGATTTATCCGGGAGATCAGTAAAATTGTTGTCCGTGACGAAATTAATTATAGAAACCCCAGATTTGTATTAGAATTATACAATAGAGATTGTCTTTTATTTGAACTCATGAAAAGGGCATACGGATGTTTGTCAAACTAACGTATAAACGAAGGCATAGAAACAAAAACAACAACCTACTTTTTCATACAAATAAAAAAATTAAACAAAACAGAATAATATTAATAAACAAAGGACACTACCACCGTCCACAATTTGGTTACCGGCTGTCCCTTCTGCCGCTAGATCTCGTGTAACTGCTTATTTCTGTTCTTAAATGAAATTAAGTATTGTTGATAAAAAATTTTTGAACATCTCTAGATGTAATTTGACATGTAGATTTCAAAAGTGATATCATTTTGACTGAATTTTGAATATTTAATGAAGTAAATTAAGATTATTTCTACTCGCATGTAGTCTATTCGAATAATAATGTACCAAAGTTGTTATTTTTCCGAACTATTGTTATAAAGGAACAAACTAAAAAATACTAACATTAAAAGGTAACAAGCTAGTAATTTAAGACTTCCTGTTGCCCGATTTATTGAAAGGGTTGTTTTGATTCAATTACCTGCATCACATGTGATTTGAACAAACACATGAACAAACCAACAACCCAGTACACTCGAATGGACTTTCTGTCGAACAAAATGCGTAGATTGTAATTAGCGCAAAAATAGAAAAATAAATAAAAATTGTTTTGTTATGAATTATCCATCATTCGTGCGAATGCAAGCACTTTTTCAATCTCTTTCTCTCAAGCTCTTCATTTTGTTGTTTTCAGCTTTTGGCCAGCGTTGTCCTTTGGGATGGTTACCGTTCAAAGATAATTGTTACAAATTTAGCGATAGATGGTTTAGCTGGGATGATGCACGAGCTGTGTGTAAAGCTAGACAAGGAGATCTGGCTGACGTCAGGACACTAGAAGAACGGGTAAGTATTGGCGCGAGTGCACAGTACTTTCTTTCCATATGGAATTAAATAAAATTGAGTGTGTTTCAGTCTTAAGTAATATGCCTTTGACATGGAGAAACTGATAACCATTGTGATTCATTAGTTTTACGGTTTGCTAATATGGTTAACGAATCAGGTAATTACTAAAAATTAACAAGGCCAAAGAATACTTTGCTCCGCTGTATACCTGACAAAATTATTTTTCTTACAAATTGATTTTTATCGCAGATTATGAATTTTGATGGCTGCATATTGTCATATGAATATTAAATGTTTCAGGATTTCATAGTCGGCGAGATTCGATCTAGACGACAACACTTCTGGTTTGGCTTGAACGATAAAGCACGAGAAGGAAAATATGTTTGGCCAGATGGGTCTCCACTGGACAACAACCTCGCGTAAGTAGTAAACGGAATAAAGGAAATTACACCCACCCCCTCCATAAGTTTGGCAACCTGTTAATAAATAATCACGACTCGAATTTGTAATTGGCCAACGTTTTTCAATCGGCCCACATATGCATTTTGATTCACACGGTTTCAGTTGCTCAAACTTCACCTTGAAAGTCGAAGATGCCACATATGTACTAATCCCAACTCTGGTGTGTTTGAATAAACTCCAACCCATTTTGAACTGTAATACCTGTTTCTCATTTTAATTTCATAGTATTTCGTTTGTGCGAACCCCCTTAATTAAAGGAATATACGAACTTCGTATTTCAGACTATGGGCAAAGAATCAGCCAAATAACTGGAAGAATCGCCAAGACTGTGGCTTATGGCAGATTTGGAATAGCACCGAAGTCAGTTGGAATGATGGGGAATGTTATGCAAACTATAGATACATCTGCAAACGGAGTATAAGTATGACGCATTTATGATAACATTTGTAATCATAATTTAATTTTTAATTGATTCACTGATTCATAGGTTGAGGTATCGGTAATTTGCGGCTTTCCCTTAAAAACACTCTTACTTACTCGTCACCAGGCCAACATTTTCCTTTTATATTCACATCGGGAAATGGTTCATACAGGATCCATATGCGCATATGAATCCTGCCTCCAGGATTCAGTGGTTTTATTCACAGTTTTTGCTTTGTTGTCCTTCAATCTCAAGATTCAACTTCAAGTAATCACGTATAAGATGAATATCTCTCAAGATTTTATTTCTCGTGAGACCTTCATCCATTTATTAGGCTACTTGAGGAAAAAAAAGAATCCCGTATCACTCTCTATTCGAAATTTAAAAGCATGAGTGCATGTACTAATTATACATACATAATCATAATATACGAGAATGGAGCCCGGGTATGGTTTTAAATCCAATAAAGAATGATTCAGGACTCTTTATTGGGAGTCAAATGTACCACCACTCCTTTCCTTTATAAAATATGATATTGTCCAGTTCTTCATGAAACCATGATGCATGGTAATGACGTCAATCTTTTACCAATAGTGACACTCCTCAGTTCATTATGAAACCATAATGCAGAGTAGAATAATGTTTCTGCTCAATTGTGACCACATACTTTGAATTAATGCACTGAAATACTGCAAGTTGATTGGCTGAGACACATCTGGCATAATTCACTTTGATTGTATTCGACAAAACTATACTTTAAGATACCGTTGATAAATGCGATTTCTCTAACGGCTGGGTACCATTCGGAGACAAATGCTTCCGGTTGGAAGAGAGCAAGCTTAGTTGGAGGGATGCCCTTGCGCGTTGTAAATCCATGGACGGCAACTTGGTGGGGATCGACACACAGGAGAAGCTTCGGATGATATCAGATACAGTCACCTGTACGGACACCAATAACGCTGTCTGGATAGGTCTCTCTGATATAGTAAGTTAAATTTTAATGAAATCCAACATATACATGTGTATTACATACCTAGCGAAGCATTTGTATGGAAGTCAATGGGAAAGTTAGCGAGCTATATCCACCGATATTGCCCGATTACCCCGATATAGCCCGCTTACCTCGTTTTGATATTAGATTTCTTTAATAACCATGATAATATCATGACGTCACGTCATTGATACAAAGTAACCATAGGAACAAAGGCATGTAATACATCAGTTATGTCACTATGACGTGAAATATGCCTTCGTTCTTGCCCAAATATACAGCCTCCCAAGGTCGGCCTATATTGGGAGAACTCAGGCATATTTCACGTCATAGTGACATAACCTCTAAATATTAGATCGTTATATGAGGATTCATATTATATGACATAATAAACCTTATTAAAGTTATCAGTTTTTCACAATGTGAAGGTGGATGGAACGATTTGTGAGCATTTTGCACTCGTGGTACCACATCAGTACCCAAATTGCAGTATTCCATATTTAAGGACTTTTTAAGTCAGATGTGTCTGTCTATTAGAAATTTGTTGTGTTTGAATACTATACTAGGAATTATGATTGCTATGCATCTGAATTCTGAATATATACATATTTTTCTCAAGTGATGCATGTCATGCAGATTTGGGCTCCAAACATCTTTCTATAAAAAGTGTATCAGAAAACAAGCTGCAGATTTGACTCTCACTTGCACAGCAATGTACTTCACTACAATGTAAATGTACCTTGTACAAATCGGCATGTGAATATGATAACTTCAAAAATGTCAAAGATGTGTTATATCACACAGAGAACCAAAAACAGTGAATCTTCCAATATGAAAGAATTTGAACAGAATCATCATGGATGATAATATATATTCGTATCATACGAGTTGTACTCTCGTTTAGTATGTATATACCTGTATGTATAGCTATTTTTGTTTATATCACAACATAGAAAAGTCCCGGAAACTTAGCCTGGGCAGATGGCGTTGCTGTAACAATTACCAACTGGGATGTTGGCCAACCTAAATTAGCGTAAGTATAATGTACTGGGTGGCCCAAACGTAATTCTGTAAATTCTAACCGTAGACCTACTTTTGGGTGTATCATATTAAATGTTCTTTGGAAGTGCTTATCTAATGCCATGTGAACTTTAAGAAATATAAATTATATACCCCTTCTCGATCGCATATCAATCCTCTTTACATTTGGCCATTTAAAAATCAAACTGGTGTAATAAAGGACAAAGAGATTCAAACCGAATAAGCTTTTCATATCATGCTATCAAATGAATACTTCCAGTTCCTAAACTTATAAAGGGAAGTTTAAATTGCCTATTGCAAAGATCTTCATTAGCTCAGAGAGAGAGATAATTTTTTGATAATATGACCGATCGATGCGGATGATAAAGGACATATGTGGGAGAGAGAAGCGAACGTGTCCTTGGGCGGGGATGAGAGAACACGAGGCTATACACGAGGATAACTCATTCTTTGCCTGTTGATATGATATGAATTTATAATTAGCGACTGCAATATTTGTTCAAGTGTCCCAGGAGGTGAAAATTGTGTCGAGGTTCTCGCCAACACGAGGTACAAGTGGCGTGTTACAGCATGTGATGTCGAAAAAAAGGCCATTTGTGAACGTCCACAAGGTACATTTTAATGAATTTGAAACGTGTTCTGGTACGTGGCTCTTATTTTGCACATGCTTTCAATTAGTTATGTATAATATTTGATTTTACCGATCTGTTACTAAGAGATAAACAAATTATTTAGTTTGATTACGTCAAAGACACCGTCCGGAAGTAGTGAGACAATCAAAAATACTATGTACATTGATTCCGTCAACTGAACTTCCGATTGGCCCATGTACTCTCCTCCATGGGGTGTCGTGAGAAACTATGGCCTTATATTGTATGTGCATGTATCACTGCGTGAAATATGGGATTCCAACTCTTGACACGTCTAGAAACTGGTCTTTACACGCCGGGTTTCTAGACGTGCCAATTATTTACACCTCTTGACACGCGATGAATTCAACTCTTTACACCTCTTTGCACTTCTTGGCACACGCAGTGCAAAGACGTGTAAAGACCATGTCAAAAAGTCTTTACACGCCCTGTGACAATTAATGGAATCTCTTGACACGCTCTTGGCACACTGAACAACATAATTATGTGTAAACAACTAACCTAATTACCAATAGCAATACATACAGTATTTTAACGATTGCAAGTATTTTCTCTGATACTTTTAATTGATATATTTTTTAATCATTCTTTCGCAGACTGTTTGGAACAAGTACATGTAGCAAATATTAAACAGACTATTTTGTATGTACGCTGACACATTGACTTATTTAAACATTTTGGCAATTTCATGCCGCCTTTTGAAAATATAAATCAGTTACAGGCAATGCTAATCGACGCATTGATCCTAAGTGAAGGAAATACATATCATAAGAAAAAGAAAGGCGTTTCAAGAATAAAACGTGCAATAAACTTTGAAAACACTGATACATCAGGCCTATTTATATATTTATTTTGTATTAGCTTAATATAAAGATAACCTTACTTTTCGATGAGTATTTGGATTTCGGAGTAATTTGTTTCAAGTTAAGTCAATACAAATTGTCGCCGACTTAACTTGTGACCATACATATGATAAATGAGGGGCATTTTAATACACAATTGGGCAAAACAAGCATATTCAATCGAATGTACCATTCTCTCTGCTGTTCTTTCCCAGCCTATCCATAAACAGACAGGTACAAGTTCCCATAGTTTTCGCAACATCTAATTCTATGATCAATTGCTAGACACAGCAAATATACTAATTAATTGTCTGATTGTGATTCGGGAACGTATGGTTTTTACATAAACAGGATACTTGGCTGTACATAGCCTGAGAACACCGGATTGACCCCCCCCCCCCCCCCCAATCGACGCCTAGGCGCTGCTTATTAACGTATACATAAAAATATTGGGTGAGACTTGAGATAATGTATGCGGCGCCAGTCAAAATTGAAACTTCTGATTGGGTTCGAAGCCGAGATGCCCGGATATGTCCCAGCAAAAGCCGGAATTCACGTGATTTTTCACGAAGAAGGGGCGGAGTTTAAGCGAGATTCATCGAGACTTCTTCGTGTCAATCATGTCAATCCCTGCATTGCTTATTGTTAACTCCACCTTTTTGCCCATATATGGAGATGGAGATGCCACTTGCGAGCGTGAACAGTTCAGTCTAGAAATTTCTTAAGCGATGTCTTTCTTCGATTTTTCTACACGATATCTCGATAAATAGTGGACATATTTGTACCATTCGATCTTTCGTCAAAATGAGGGTATCGCTGGAATACATATTTCCAATCTGTTGGTCAATAGATTTATTCATTGATACTGGCAGGAATTAGATCGTAATAAACATGCTAAAATTGTAAAACTTGGAACGTTTGACAGTAATCTCCGAGTAATGTATGAATTGCATAAGGAGAAAGCAGGAGAAAAGCTGGGACAGTCTGTTGTGTGGAGTTTGCAAAGCAATCCCGGATATAAATGACGTCATCTTAGCAGTTTACATGGTTTCGAAAGTGATATATTTTAGCTAGGCTGCCTGGGTGTCGTAGTGATGAGTTTGAATTATGTCGATTATTCGATTGTTATATATAAATAAACATCGATCTTCGGCGAAGATAAAGTAAGAACAACATATATATCCGAGAAACATGTTGGTAAGTACAGTATTTCATTTATAATGGCAGAAAATCAAATTGAATCGAAATCGAATTTTCAACTTTTTCAATTTTTTTTCGTTCGATTATTTTGATTTTCAATTTGATTTTTACATTCTATCTTCTTCGTCCTGCGGGACTATACTAAGCATAGGTCCGGAACATGTATAACATTGACGAGTCAAATTCACTTATAGAACATGCTGTAAGCTTTATTTCTTTACATTTTTACGGGCCTATGCCTGGGCTATGACTCTAGGCCTAGACTACTGGATCTATAGGACTTAGACTAGCCTAAAGCTAGAGCCTTAGATCTAGCTCTTTCAGAAGCTGTGACTGATATGTTAGAACAGCCTTTAGAGCCCCCTATCAACCGCTTCAAAATTGTGTTAGTGTCCTCCTTGCGAAAATCGAAAAAAATTAAAAGGTGCTTCTGTGCCGAACAGCAAATTCTCATTATATATTGAGAAGCTACTCTTTACCAAAAAACCAAAAATGGAAGTTTTGACGGAAAGACATGACGTACAAGTCAAAATCTCTGAATCTTGCTAGGTACATGACAGATAAAGAGAATTTAAATCCTGATCAGCAAAGAAGCGGCTAATAACTTACATATTTTCTCAACAAAAAGCACTGATGTAGCTCACATTGGGAGATAGTAGTAAGCACTTGAAGTTGATTTCAATAGATCAGTTACACCTGTCATGATTTCAAGGAAAGACACAAAGTATCCGTCAAAAGAGAAAAGCTTACATAAATGCGAGCAAAATCTGCAGATTTATTATAGCTATTGACTTCTCGAATATATTGAACGCACAACTCTAAACAATACTTGAAATTGAATAAAATTGACAAAATATGAGAAGAGTCTAAAACCTAACTGGGAGAGCTGCCATTGTTTGCCCGGAAATCTTCAGAGATTTTGACTGGTACTTTGTGTCTTTCCATCAAAATTGCCATTTTGGTTTCTCGCTGGGTAATTCACAGATGAAGAGAAATCTTGATTGACAAAAATACAGCTGATAGCTAACAGCTTTTCTTAAACAGAAGATAAAGGAAGATATAAAGGAACCTGTTATGATTTTGAAGCGGGTGATTGCCGATAGGGGGCAAATTAAGGCTGTAAGTAGAGGGTGTAGCCGAATAAATCTAACCCAAATAGAGTTTAACACATCTCAGTATAGGAAAAATTAAAATTCATTAAAGTTTCATCACTTTAGCATGTGTACATTTGCTGGCCTTCTAATATTTTGCCAATAGATTTGTTAGGCTTGATTTCTTATGAAATATAAGAGTGTATGGTTTCAATGTACTGTACTCCCAATATTTTTCGCGTGCAATTTAGTTTCGTGCTTTTCGCGATTGTGTAAAAATCACGAAAATTAATAGTCGCGAATATCGCCAATTAAAGGCTGAGGTGCAACATGCCATTGACTAAGATCTAGAGATTGTAAATCTTATCCAAAGTATATGATATTGGGTAGGTGTAATTACTGTAGATAAGATAAATTAATTTTGAGGATTCAGAGAATAATGGAAGTTAAACCTTTGATATCCGCAAAATTTAATGGCCGCAAAATTGGTATTTCTCAAAATTCATGAAATTTAAACTCGCAAATTAACCGGTAGTACAGTATTTGCATGTGGAATAATTATGATATTGAGAGCATTGATGAAACAAATGCAATGAACTGATTTGATTGGCCAAGGGAGCATTGGAATTTTGACCTGAAGTTCACATGATTGTTGCTATAGGCCTTATGATTTTTGGGAATTCCAGTAATACTATTAATGTCTATTATACTTATACAGTAAAACCTGTCTTATCCAAATGCCACCGCTACAAATTAAAAACGTTCAGATTTAAACGTCTGATTTCGAGGTTTTTGCATCCGAAAGATTCTTGATTTTGAAAAGATATTAATGCATTTTCACTTAATATTACTAGCATTGTAGGCGTTATGATTTTTTGGAATTCCAGTAATACTATTATACTTATACAGTTATACAGTAATATCTGTCTAATACTTATACAGTAATATCTGTCTTATCCAAATGTCACCATGACCAGTTAAAACACCATGACCAGTTAAAAAAAACATTCAGATGTGGAGGTGATCGGATTTCGAGGTTTTTGCATTCGCAAGATTCTGCATTTTAAAAATATAAATGCATTTTCACTAAAAAGTATTAAGATCACTTTTGACCGCATAGCTTTATGACATTCCAAAATCCAAATCGAATGCTTGAAAGGTAAAACAGAAGTGTGCAATCAGAGATGATAGATACTATTGCATGAGTATATGAAGGCCATGTGTCAACTCTTCGATTGATAATACGCCTCGAAATATGTTCTGTTATAATATGACGACAATAACAATGTTTTATGTTGATTTTTATGTCTATATTATACTTTGAAATATTTTACACATGTACATCAAGATGGCTGACTTTATCAGTAAAGATGGCGCTCGTGCATACAGTATGTCACGAAATAAACACAAGTATAGTATCACGAAATAACACAATCAAATATGATCAATCAGATAATACAACATCTCCCTTTGGAAGCCTTTGATTGTGTTACTACTTCGTATGTTACACTTAAACTAATAATGTCCATAAGACTTAAAACTATGTAAGAATTTAAATGTTCATAAGAGTTGGTAATACAGTCTCTAACTCTCTCTAAATCATACATAGTGTAAATAATGTCACTATAGCTCATCAATAAGTCTTTTAACAGGTTTCCTCAATCTGTGAGACCTTCTCAATATAGGTTCACTGTTAACACTTGGGTTATTTTCAACCGGAACCTCAACCTGGCTAGAACCACTAATTGGTGATCCAGCATTATCAACTACCATAGATGACTGTGACTCTTTTGAGTCTGTATGTACATTTAGATCATCTTGATCTTCATACCTATTAAA